GTGTCCTCATCTGTAATACGAGTATAACAATCCCAACTTCTCAGGGTTGTACGGATTCAAGAGAAGCTCCTCTCTGGTATATAATTTGCTGGCACGTGGAAACTGTTGCGTGAGGAGTGGGTCCCTTTGCTGATAATGGTCTTGGGCCTCTGTAAGCAGCAAACTCCCTCAAGTCCTCCAGGAAAGGAAAATGTATATCCTCTATTGAGCCCAGGCCCCGGATTCCTGCCCTGAGGAGCCCTAGAGCTGAAGGGAGGATATAGGCAGACTGGATCAAGCCCTGGACTTGAAACCACATGTCTGAATTTGAGGCATGACTCCATAATTCAGTGGCTGTGTGACCCTGGGTGAGTCCTCATACCTCTCTGAGCTCAGCTTCCTACCTGGAACAGGAGCTAATAACACTTACCAGACTAAGACTCAAAATAACACGGACAAGAAGCCAAGTTCTTGGTAGATGCTTGATTATTGTATCCCTAAAGCAATCTCCTGCCCTTCTCCTGACTCTCCTTGTGATTTGAGGGTGTGAGTATCAAGGGGGCCCCCCAGACAGAGCCATGACCAGTCTAAGTGGCAAAGAAGAGCTTTCCCATTCAAAATGGTGACCTGGGATGTGGCTGGGGCACCTGCAGCCTAGGCTAAGGGCTGAGACACTGGACAGCTCTGGACACTCAGGGGGATCCAAATGCTTGTGACCTCACCAGGTACCAATGTGTAAGTGACCAGTCAGCCCCCTAGGAGATGTCTGTGGTGCCCTCCAAATGCAACTTTGGAGGACAGAGGATCCACCCCTCATCCCCTCCCCAGATCCCCATTCATGCATTCATTCATTCTTACACTGCTATCTTTCCAAGAATATTGCACAGAGCCTAGTACATAATAGGTCTCAATAAATACGTTGGAAGAACAAGCTTTTACATTCAACCCACATTTATTGAATGTCTACTGCTCTTAGCCCTGTGCTAAGAGATGGTGTACAGATGGTGCACATAAAGGAACTGGTCCTGAAAGCTCCTTCCCAAGATCACCCAGGGGGCCTCTAAATCCTCCCAGCTCTTCCCATCCAGAACCCCACTTCCACTGGTTGCCAGGCTCTAGGCATCAGGACTTTTCCCAGAATTGAGGTAATGCCCAAGCACCCCTATGCGTCACGGGGCCTGGGAAGGTTGCAGCCCCACAACCACAACTTTCCAAATCTTCTCTGCCTTTCCTGCCGGGTCCTCCAGCCACGCTTTCCCATCCCTCTCAAACCCTCAGACACAGTCATCTCCCCCCTCCCAGTGCCCTACATCTACCTGGGTTATACCTGATTCGGCCAGCAGGTGGCGCTGAGATTCTCTTTTCCCCGGCGCTGAACTGGACTTCAGACCCCACCAGGACCCTGCCCCTCCCTCCTTTTCTCCCCAGCAGGGACAGAAGTGCACTCTGTGACCTCTAACCAACCCCTCTCCTTCCTGCTGGCTCCTGCGATGGGGCCTGAGGAGACTCCAGTTTCTCCTACAGGCCCCGAGTTGTTTTTTCCAGCCTTGTGGGTGAGGAGGGTCCCTGGGGACAAGCTGCAGCTGGTGGGGCGGGGCTGCGCGGGGTGGGGCTGAAAGCAGCTGCCGGGAGAGAGAGAGAGAAAGAAGAAAGGAGAGAAAAAGAGAGAAGAGAGAAAGGAGAGGGAGAGAGAGGTACTCTGGTTCCCTGTCTCCTATCCCAAACAGGTGCAGGTCCCAACTGAGGCTCATCCCAGGATAAGGTATGTGGCTGAGGAAACAGAAGGGGTTATGGAGCAGGCCAGGGGGTACAAGGTGTGTGTGTGGGGGGGCTAGCCAGTTAGATCCCGCTGCTCAGCAAGAACCTCTGAGCCCCCTCCCATCTCACCCCTTCCAAGGTGACCAAATAGAAACCTGAGGGGCCGTACAAGGAGTCCCAGGGTGGGCATTAGATGATGAAGGCTCTACTGCAGCTCTTGACTTACTGTGTGAATTTGCACCCAGCTCTTTCCACCTCTAGACCTCAATTTCTTAATCTAAAATGGAGGCAGGCCCGGGGTGGGCTGTGGGGGGGGGTATCTTGAAGGCATTCTGTGGGATAGCTTTGCAAGAAGTCCCCTTTTCCAAAAGAATTTGCCCTTCCAGGGGCTTCTCAAAGACCGGAGGGCCTTTAAGACACAAAGGAATGCCCCCCTAATGGTGGAATTTCAGATAGAGGGGAAGGGGGCTCATTTGGAGAGATGAGTGGCCCCTCCATGTCAGGGCCCTGGGGCCCTGGTCTATGCCTATCTCTTCAGCCTTGTTTCCCTGACTGGGATTCAGGGTGGAGAGTGACACAGGGGTTGGAGGGAGGGCTTCCCCAGCTGTCTGGCACTCCAGAGGTCCTCTCATTAGGGAGAGGGTGGTGGGTGCAGGGTGAGGGCATTTCTCTGCCACTCCAAGATCAGAAAAAGAGTGAATTGGGCAGAAGGGCATGTGGGACCAAGATGGGGACAGTGGTAGGCATATGGATGTCTCCAGGGTAATGAGGGAGGGGTCACCCAAGCCCTTCCTGAACTGTTGGCTGCTGGCCACATCTCTAAATCCCCCTGCACTTTCGAGTCCTTAGCTCAGTCACTGCTCACAGCCTTCAGCCCAGCCAGAGGTGGGGATGGGGCTAGAGCACTCCTCCCTCACCCTACTGTTGGGAAGAGATTTTTCCAGATTGTTCTCTGTCTGGGAAGGAGCGGGCACAGGCAAGTTCTAGGATCTCAGGGATCCCAGGGTGGTCAAGCACACGATAGGGAGACAGATCAGCCTGTGTTTAAATCCTGGCTCTGCTGTGGGTCCTTGGGCAAGTCAAGTGTCCAGGCTGCAGTCTCCTCCTATGCAAAGAGGGGACATTAGAGCCTTACAGTGCTGTAGTGAGAAGTAAGCGACATGATGCAAGCAAAGCCCCTAGCAAGATTCTGGCACCTCGAGATGATCGCTGTTACTCTCATGATGGAGAGAAAAAAGGAGACCCAAGAAGGGGAAGGACTGGCCTGGGGTCACAGAGCCTTTAAGCCCTCCAGTGAGTCAGAGCACCCTCTTCTCGGCCCCATGGTAAACACTGAGCACCTACAGCACCTACTCAGCACCCCCATCCCCACTAGGACTGTTCCCCTCTGCTCACTCCTGCCCCAGCCTGCAAGGCCTTGGATCGGGGTGGGGTGAGGGGTGGGGACCCTCAGGCCAGGGAGGGGACCCCCAGGCCAGGGAGGGGAGGTCATTTTTGGGGTGGAGTGCGGTGAGAGCACAGAGGAGCATCTCCGTGGCACTTGCCCTCTCTCTCCCTCGGGAAAGGGTTGAGGTGGGGGCCAGGTCAGGGCTGCGTAGCGGGGAGAAGGGCTGCGAGGTTGGGACTGAGCACAGTGGCGCGCGGAGAACCCGGCGCAGGCTCCCGCACAGGCGAGAGGGTG